CAAGTGCTGGCATTAAATACCTGCACCAGCATTCCTGCCTTCTCCAGAATTTTGGAGTTTTTGTTATGGAGGTCAGCTTCCTCAGGTTAGGAAATTTTTTATTATCATTTCCATCTCACTGTTTATCTTATCTCAGTTTTAATAGATCATATGCATTTAGAAATTCATCTGCTTCACCTTCTGATTTATTAGAATATCTGTTTTTAAGGTATATCTTATTGATTTTCTCAATTTCATTGGGAAACCAGCAATAATTTATTAAATGATTTTAAAAGGCATAATTGTTGAGAAAGGGGTTTGGGTTGTGACTGATAGATGCCTGATAGTCATTTATCTTTATCAAGAGTGATACCCCAAAATGAAAATGTGTGACGTCTGATTAGGAATGGAGTGATCTTAGATCTTCATTTATATCTGTTGGCCTAGAAAATTGTTACATATGCTCCTGTTCAGTCTCAAGTGACCAGGAAATTTTCCTTTGACTTACAGAATGTCTGATGTAGCCTGTCTTAAATCAGAACATCAGTCTCATTATGATGCCCCCTTTTCCTGTGTATTGCCAGAAATGCCATGTTTGGTTTTCCTTCCTGGGTAGTGATTAGAGCAAGGAAAAGCACCAATCATCTTCCAAAATTAATTTATTCCTACCTAGGTAAGTTTACCATAGGGCACCAAGCGTAGACATAAACTTCCTGTCGCAGCTGTGCTCATTAAATACACAGGGTCCATCACATAAGGGCTACTGGATGATCTTTGATACAAATGGATGAGTTTGGAGAAACAATAGGTCAGTCAATACCCAGCAATACTTACCATTACAGTAAGAAGTAGTGGCCGGGCGGTGGTGGCGCACGCCTTTAATCCCAGCACTCGGGAGGCAGAGCCAGGCGGATCTCTGTGAGTTCGAGGCCAGCCTGGGCTACCAAGTGAGTTCCAAGAAAGGCGCAAAGCTACACAGAGAAACCCTGTCTCGAAAAACCAAAAAAAAAAAAAAAAAAAAAAAGTAGTAACAACAGCATCTGATGATGTCAATGTTCCTGGAGCAGAGGAACCTAATATGGGTATAGAAGTGTGCTTTTTCTGTGTGTAGTCTAAGGTGGTTCCATTTCCCGTGGCTCAGACCGTAGCAGGTATGTGCAATTATGGCCACCTTTGTACTATTTTGTCGCTTCATTCAACTTTTAGCTTCGTAATGGGAGGGGGCAGGTTATTAAATGCTGAATCTTCAGTCTGGAAAGAGTTCGTGCTTACTGAATGATAAAGCAGTTTTGTCAAATAATTCATTGCCTAAAAGATGGTTGACTAAATTGGGATCAGATCTAACTTACAGGAAATGTGGAGTTAGAAAATTCCCAGTACCCGAGACTGTTGCCAAGACAGCAACCATTCTGATGGTTCCACACCTCTAGCTTGGTGGGCATTGTGACCCTTTATTTTTTGGCAGCCTTTGGGGCGCAGAGCTGGCTTAGCAGGTAGGACTGAAGGTGACTGACTCATTTGTAGGATATTTGTAACTGACAAAATCAGATAACCGAGACACAGAGATTTGCCATCCGAATTTCGCACTGCGGCTATAGGGACAATTTCTTGTCGTTGACGCCTTTGTTTGCTTGCTTGTTCTGTACTTGAGCTTTTGTTTCCCATCAGAGGCCTGCTGAGTTCTTCTGGTGTATCAAGTGAATGGAATAGAAAGATGGCTCTTCCCTTCTACCTTGTACGCACATGGAAATAAGGGGAATGCATGTACTCCCAACTGTGAGTAACCTAGAGTACACAACAGACTTCGAGGATACAAGAGATGCATCTGAGCTTTCTTCTATTGCCGGGATAAAATACCACAACCAAAACCAACTTGGGGAGGAGATAGTTTATGTATTTTAGCTTATCATTTATAGTCCATTATGAAGGGAACCTGAGGCAGAAACCCAGAGGCAGGAACTGGGTCAGAAGCAATGAAGGAGTGGTGCTTACTGGCTTTCTTTCTTCTATAACCCAGAACCACCTGCCCAAGGGTGGCACCACCCACAGTAGGCTGGGCCCTCCCAAATCAATCACTAATCAAGAAAGCTCCTACAGGCCAATCTGATAGAGGCATTTTCTCAATTGAAGTTCCTCTTCCCAGATGACTCTAACTTGTGTAAACAGACTAACCAGGACAAGATGACACTTGCCCTATACACGTTAACTAGGTAGAATTTGCTAGACAAGGGGTATATGTATGTGGGTGGAGGGTGAGACTTCAGAGAAGCAATTTGAAGCAGCACTATTCCAGGGTCCTCCATTGTCTAAGGACAGTTATGCCTTTCCCAGTGTTCTTGAGAATACCTGGACACATCAACTGAAGGCTGGGTTTGAGTTACATGCACATGAACTCCCAGGTCCCCACTGAATCAAGTCAAGCACAACGACATGGTCTGGAAAAGCCAGTGGCTCTGGTCATCTAGGTTCCCAGTAAAACATTCATAATGCAGTATTTATGAAATAGGAAAAAGTCTCAAATATAAGTATTTTACAAATATAGTTTTATTATTTGGAAATACATACAAAATTTCACATACAGCTAAAAAAGTTGCTAAGCAGAGGTCCTATCACACTGTTTTCTGACTAAAGTCATTATGGCCAGCATGATCCTGGAGTAGCTTCTCCTCAGGCTCTGAGAACTACCTAAATCTTCCCCAACATAGACAACTGGCATTTCATTTTGTTCAGACGACTTTATCCAGCAAAACAGCTAAATGCCATGAACTACAATCATTTTGAAAACTGAATACTGTATCCAACTAACCGTGTATCCTGGTTTCTCAGACTGTCCAAATAGTTGTCAATAGAGAGCACTGCTGTGTGATACAAATTATAGGCCAAAAGTCTTAAAATAATTTAAAGTGGCAAGTTTTTTGTTTGTGTGTGTGCATTTAAATTTTATGTCATTTTACTTTTGGCCAAGCAGACTATTTGTCAAAAAAGTTGAGTTGTTCTGGTTTCCTGATTATCAATCCATTCCCCATTCTTTTTGCCTTGATGCATTTTTTGAAAGGTTTTTTTAGCAACATTAGCACTTTCTCTTGAGTTCATTCTGAGCATTCCCATTTCAAACACTGTTTTGTATCACATGTCTCCTGGCAGCCTTTATCATGCCAGCTCCCCTTCTTTTAGCACACAGGCCCTGACAAACTGACCTCATCGGTAAGTCTCCACAAGACACGTCAGATGATCGTTCTCTACCTTCTACACTCACTTAAACCTGTCATGCTTGTGTGTGTACATGCATGCACATGTACACGGAGGTCAGAGGCCAGTGACTGTCCTGTTTCATCATCTAGGTGGAGGAGCGGGAAGTCTGGTCTCTGGTTCTTACTCACCTATTCTTCAGTGCAATCTGGCATCCTTTCTAGTTCTAGCTGAGAAACCAAGGCTCAGTACAGACTGAGAACAGTGAGGCAACGTCTGTAGCACTGACTTAGAGTTCAGGTGGAATGGTAAAGTTGGACACCTGCTTCTGTAGTATCCATTCTCAACTATTGAATCCCCAAGGACCCAAAGTAGAGGGTAATCCCCTCACTTGGGATCCTGAGCCGCGTGCTCACTTTACCCAGCCTCCAGTGAGTCAGCCGTCCTAAAAGTACTCTTTCCTAGTCCAACATCTTTCCTGTTTCACATTATTATATCCATGACAAATCCTCTTTTCAGGTATTCATCTTTTAAAACTCCAGCATAATTTCAATGGAATTTCTGGAACTCAGTGCTTCTATGCCAGGCACATTACCTCTGTTTTCTCCTGTTTAATCTGGAATCGCTTGCTACAATGATAGTTCATCTAGTCATTGACCTGACAAACTAGAAGCAACTCTTAAGTAAAATGTTACAGCACCAGAAACCTTACTTTGAGTAACTGTCAGCTGATATCTGTTCCGCCATGACTTCCCCCAATCCTAATTCAACCCTTGGAATCTAGACAGACAATGCCGACCTTTCAATTATCTAGACTATTCTCACCCATGTTTTCTCTAAGAAAAAGTCTTTTTGTTTTTTTGAAATAAGGTTTCTATGTGTATCCCTGGCTGCCCTGGAACTCGTTCTAACCAGGCTGGCCTCTAATTCACAGAGATCTCCCTGCCTGTCTCCTGAGTGCTGGGATTAAAGGTGTATGCTACCATGCCTGTCTAAAAGCAGTCTTGATAGTTATGTTTTAAAACATTTTATTACCCTAAATTCTCTTCATGGGGTGCACTTGAACTTGTGAAGAACATTTAATAAACTGGCATCAAGTCCTGTTGAGTGCTGAGCACTTTCCATGGTATAAAAATTACTCAAGGCCACTTTGTTTCTTATTTTTTCAATAAACACTTGAAGATGACTACTTAAGTGTCCAAACTGGTAGCCACAGACACAACGTTCAGAACCACTGTCCTTAATGCCTTCACCATCCAGAGAAGACAATGGCAGTGGCAGGGCTACAGCCCATGTCCGGCTATGTCTGAATGCTACATAACGCACCGTCTTTCACTTTAGATGGCACCCCTGCCATTGTAGGGCACACTGAAGATGTGCTTGCTCCTTAGGGCCTTCTTTCCGATGACTATTCTCAGCTAGCTGTCTGCAGCCCAGGATTCGAGTGGTATCTTCTATTATTTTTCAAACCTAATTACAGGATCACAATTTATTACAGCTGATTTTTTTGGTGCTCTTTGGACCTTGCATGTGAGCTTGCTGTGTACCTGTGAGTTTTCATTCTGAACCCTTCAGATGTGGTCAGTCTCATCACTGAAAACAACAACTGTGATCATATCACACTGACTAAAAGCAATAAAGTGACAGAATAAAGGCCAGCTTCTAGAAAGCTCTGTCCTAGTTTTCTAGTCACAATCTGATGACATATTCTAAACATGCCCTTATAACCTCATTAATATTTATTATTCTGAATAAAACTACAAAAACTATGGACAAAGTCATGCATAATTAAGAACTGGAAGCTGATTTTTAAAAATAACAGTTATTAAATATCCATTATAAATATTCATTTTATTTTAAAAGGATTGGAAGATGTTACATATATCACATACTACATATAATGGCACATGTCAACCTTTTAAGCTTAAAAATAATATCTCCCCGAACTGGGACTGACTTATATCCCAAGGATAAATGACCCTTGGCCTATAGCACCACACCCAGGCCCCGAGGAAAGGCAGTTTTGAGCCTGAATGACCTCTGGCGATGGGATTCCTGATATAATGTGGAGGGTCTTCTCCCTCCGCTTTTATCCCTGGCAGTACTGAGGCCTGGCAGGGACGTTCTGACTACACACTAACTGCAGGTGTGGGAAATCAGAGAAGCCAGAGGGGGAAGGCCCTCTAATAATTCACAATAGTTGAAAATGGGAGAAGAATTTAAAACGTTATGTTCCTTAACATCTTTGTCTTTGCTCTACATAACTATAGCAAAACTACAAAAGACAGAAGGAGGCTTACAATAATTGAAATACAGTTTCCCTTTGAAAATGGAAATTTCTAGACAGAAAGAGCCTTCAACGTTTCTAGTTCAACACTAGTAACCCACTCCACTGGTGTCTCTGCTTTCCTGATTGCAGGGTTAAGTCGTTCACAATTTTGAATGCCATCCATATGCCGGTTTCTCAGACAAACACAGAAATTTAATAATACTTTCACGTTTTTTTTCTTAATTCATAAGGACAATTTCTGCCAAATGCTCTGGCTTATGGCTCTCCTCCTCTTCATAGTATGTTTAAGTTACACATTAGGAATCCAAGAAGAACCACTATGGAATTTTCATAAGCAATGCCCGACCAATCAGTACCACACAGTACCCAGTGTGAAAATCTTAGGTCTTTAGAGTCTATATCCCCTTAGCTTTCCGACCGTGACAATAAGAATCTGAAAAGGAGAAAGCAGAAGCACACACGACACGGGAGCAGGCCGGGTTCTCTGCCTTCGCAGTGTGAGTGCGAGTTAGCGGGACGCCCTGGCAATACCACCTTCCGCTTGCATTGTAAAAACTGTACAGGACAGATTTAAAGTGGAGATAGGCCTCTGGTTTTTATTGTATTGTTTTTAAGCCCTAGCAGATTTTTAAAAAAGAGGCTGTATTAAATGACAATGCATTTGAGTCAGGGGGAGGAAAAAATTAAAAACTCAAAACTTCTTTCAGTTTATTCAAAATAAAAATACACATAGAATTATGAAAATATAGGTTTACTATTTCCACCACATAAGCCAATGCTGCTGTTGAAGGGCTTGCAGTGTTCTTGAGTTTTTACAGCTCATCTCGATCCCTCAATAAAGTATACCTATACTCGCTGGGCGCCAGCTTCTGGAAGGAGCTCTCTGGAGGACTGCTTGCTACATCCTGGTCTTGCTACAAAAGAAAGAAAAGAATCTTCGTACCAAAATGTGTTATGGAGTTATCATACTTTACTATTACATGACTGGCAGTGGCCTTATAATTACTTGCTCACTAATAAATAAGAGAAAAAGTGTATGCCAAAGTCAAGAGGTAAGTTTGCGATCTTGTTTCCTCAGGTAAATGCCCCTACTCTGTTCAGGACATGGCTGCCACAAGGCCACTGACTCTGGGCCCGTCACTGTCACTGACAAAACACCAAATACGCAGTGCTTCCTAGAGAACCCCCTAGAGGCGGCACAATCTAGTTTGGCCCTAACCCTACACTTTCACAAATGACTGCTAAGAGGGATTGCTTTGATACAAACGATCCCTACTCTGTTAATAAACCTGCTATTTATCAACAATCTTAATTCCAGAAATCAGTAAAACTTGGTTGAGATGAGGAAAACCACTCAGTCCTGTAACAAACCTCTGTAATACTTATGTGCCCAAAGTAGAGAAAACACAGTGAAACCATCAAGTGCCTCCACGAGCTCTGAAGAAAAGCAGCACTGTCTGCATTTTACTTTCTCACTGCGAGCATCTCAAGAGCAAGCTTCACCACGGGACAGTCCCCACAGCGGACAGTCTAACAGCGATTAGTGTGTGCCCATGAGAACAGAAGTAGATAAGGCCTCTAGCCATTTGATTTTGCCAGGCTCCACTTCCTCAGTAAGCATTTTCTGCTGAAATACATGTTCAAGCTGAAATTACATTACTGTAAACACAGTATCTTGTACCCAGTTGGTTTTAGTACAAAAATGTGACTAAAACACATGGATAAATAAAACACTGTCTAAGGGAGAAAGTGAAACAAAACAAAACAATGCAATATGGTAAACCAGATGTTTTTCTTTAGCATATAGAGCAGTGGTTCTCAAACTGTGGGTCGTGACCTGGGGGTGGTGATGTTGGATGATCCTTTCACAGGGATCACCTAAAACCACTCTGCATATAAGATATTTACATTATGATTCATAACAGTAGCAAAATTTCAGCTGTGAAGTAGCAGCGGAAATAATTTTATGGTCAAGGGTTACCACAACACAACACGAGGGAACTATATTAAGGGTTGCAGCATTAGAAAGGTTGAGAACACTGGTCTAGAGGAATGAGCAGGCTTTGTGGGCTGAAGAAAACAATTACCTTTGGATTACTGTCACTAGCAGAATTTCCCCTGTAATATTAGCTTAACGACCAAAGAAAAACCTGACCTCATTTCTCAAATAAAGCATATTTATCAGCTTCCCATGAGAACTCTTGACTTTGAATCTAATCTGACTCCCAAATAAGGTAAGGAAAAATTTAGTTTTTCTTTTTCCTTGATAAATACAAGTTCTTTGGACAAAGTAGTAGACTTAAGTTCTGGCCTATAAAACAAGTGGTTTAAACTATATCATCTCCCTCTTAATTTCATGGTCATAATAGATTTGATATAAATAATAACACATCAACATGCAAATGTAGGATTCTTTCAAAAAGGAGGGACATACAAATTACTTGTAACAAAGGTTACAAAATAGAAATAATAAAATTTTCAGGCTTTAAAATCCATGCATCCATCTATTCTGAGAATCTACCTATTATTATTCATCAATCTAGATAGTAACATTTCCATTGAGAATTTGTACATGAATAGAAGCTAATATAAAATATTGGTGAATAGTTGTTAAGCATTCAAACATCAAATGAGAAAGCTGCATTGCGTCCTAAGTTTTGAGCATTATCAATAATGCATCTGTGAAGGTTCTTAGAATGGATGAGGGAAATAAGAAATCATGACTTTCTTTATAGTGAGGGTGTATGTCCAGCCACAGAAGCAAGCTGGAACAACCACTGGAATCCACTGACTTGTTTGCTCATCTACTCTCCCAAGTCCTACTTCTTCCTTCTCTCTGAAGCTAAAAGTACTTAACTCTATATAGCCATGTTCCACAGAAATCATATTCAGACCACCCAAGTTCAGATGATTGAGAAATCAGATACAACACTCTACAACTTTTCTGGAGGCCTAACATTTTCAAAAGTAACTTTAAAGGAGCATAACTTGAATATGTTGTCGTCAGTTCAGGATTTCTACAGAGGTATCAGAAGCTAAAACTCTAGCTCAGGTCCCCTGTGAGGCCATCTCAACAGAAGATTTCCCCAATGGCAATCACCTAAGTCCTACCTCTCCTGGGGCTGTATCAGTTGGGTCAGGTCCATGATGGAATTCTCTGTGCAGTTTTCCAGAATGCAGGTCAAATACAAACTGCTTGAGCTTTCCAGGAACTCTAAAAACAAAGGCAAATAATTATTTAGCTTCAACAGCCAAAACTGGCTGACCACTAGTTTATTAACTTCATCATGCTGTAAGAAGTATTTTACTATATCCTACCAATTCTACCATAACTACTATAGGCAACTAGATACTAGTTTAGGGTTTTAAATTTTTAGGTATATGTGTGAATGCCTACATGTGTGTACCAGCACTAGTGCCTAATCTGCAGAAGCTGGAAGAGGTATCAGATCCCTTGGAACTGAAATTACAGATGGTTGGGAGCCATCAGGTAGGTGCTGGAAATCAACAAGGTCCTCCTCTGCAAGAGCAGTCAGGGCTCTCAATTGCTGAACTACTTCCTCAACCCCTATGTTCTAATCATTGTACTTGTTCCACAGAAATTTTATTACACTTACCATTAACAAAGGTGATGCTATCAAGATGCTGTATTCCAGATGTGTTTTACTATCCTTTAGATATGTGTGTGTGTGTGTGTGTGAGAATTCATATATTTTTAGCACCACACACACATATACATAAAACAAAAAAATCCTATATCTTCCAAATCCACACTAAAAATGTTGGGATTCGAAGGGGAAAATAACATAAGAGGGTAATCACATAAAAGTACTGTTTTATAACTGGAGCACTAGTAAGCGCCACTCAGTGTCTCAAAGCATTTGAACCCAGCATGAGCCTGTCTACAGATCCTATCCCCTGAAGTACAGTCCTCTTCTGAGGTGGTCCAGACTATGTGGAGCAAAGCAGACTTACAAGGCAGACCTTCTTTGGAATTATCTCCTTGACTTGTATCCAATAAAGTACGAACAAATGATACCTATAAGGCCAATCACTTTTTGCTATTCATTGATTTGCATTCTAAAGTCTTTGCCAACATGATTTTTTAAAACTGAAGTTGATTTGCTAATTTGATAAGTAACAGATAGTAGGATTTTAATTTACATTTCTTGACAAATTGAATGTTTTCTTTTCATTGCTTAATTTATACTTCTGTGCACATTAACTGCCTGCCTTTTATGGAGATTTTGGTGCTTTGGAACATACATTATATACTTCAAATAGAAACCTATTGTTTTTTATATCTATTACAAAAATTAAAATGTACTTCCATACATACTTTAGTTCCTTGAGTATAACAGACTGACTTTTTAGTATTTTTGTTTTGTTTTCATAGCAAAGAATAGCTAGTCTGTTAACATTACCAGTTTTTATTTTTCCTTTTAAAATTCTATCCTGAGGTCCTAGAAGTGCCGTTTTGGTTGTTTTGTTTTGTTTTTTCCACTTTCAATAACTCCCACTGAGCTGTACCAACCAATAACTTCATTGTACACCATGCTGACTCCCCACTAGCTCCAATGCAACAGAGACCAGCAGGTGCCAAATGCACAGTTTACAAATACAAATGACTGTCAGGTAGTGTATTGACAGAATGCCTTGCAAAGGTTCTCTGTTGTAAAAGTAATTGCACATACAGCAGAGATAAACACTGAGAGGAGATCAATTTACATTGCTTCTGACATCATCTTCTGTCACCCCACAGCAAAGTGCTGAAGTATAAAATTCAAGCCACAGACTTAGAATGTTTTATCACACCTGAGATAATGCTGCTGGTTTGTTTACAAATTCCTAAGACCATTAGAACTACTGCTAGTCAAGGAATACTTTATGAATGAGTAAATCCTAAATGTGACAATTGAGAATACTCAAGACGGGCTTTTCACTGACCAGAATTTTCCCCTTGTCATAAGACAAGAGGGAAGAAAGAATTGTGAGCATAAAGCAAAGGCCAGGGAGGAGGGCAGACTTGGACGACATTGTGAAGCAGATGGATTATGGAAAAACTCTTAGCTAGCATGTGCTTAGAAACTATCAGTCATTATTAGGAAGAGACAATCAGTGAATGATCAATAAATTATTAGAGAGTAGACAGCATGGCAATCTGCAAGAAGACTGGCACAATAAATAAATCCTATTTTTATTTCAGGCTCTAATTTTCCTAATTGGAACACTAAGTGTGGAGCACTAAGTCTCTTCCACCCTCTAAACTTCTTGTTTACAATGATTTATTTTTAGACACAGTGAAACGCACACATACAAAACCAGTCAACTGTGACCACCCTCTGACAAGTGCGCCACAAGGAAGAAACTAGGTTTATTATTTTCAAAGAATGATGCATAATAGATCATTGCTTTCTTTTTAAACTTAAGTTCTGTAACTTGTTTTGTTGTTTTTGAGACAGTCTCAGCATGTAGCTGGGCTGGTCTTAAACTCACAGATCTGTTTGCCTCTGCCTATCAGCAAATGCTGAATACTGCTGAGCCATGGTGTTATGGTTTTTTTGGTTTGGTTTGATTTTTCCAGACAGGGTTTCTCTGTGTAGTCCTGGCTGTCCTGGAACTTACTCTGTAGACCAGGCTGGCCTTGAACTCAGACATCTACCTGCCTCTGGTTCCTGAGAGCTGGGATAAAAGGCGTGCACCACCACACCCAGCTAAATTCTCTAAGTTTTAACAAATGCACAGCATCTTCTTACCACCTCCGCAAACCAGTTAAGATCTCCAGCACTTCTCTGCAGTTGGACCTTCCTTTCCTCCTAACCCCTGGCAACCACTCCAGTGTCTGCTGATCCTATCCATACATACACTAATACATGTACTCACAAGAACGTTTTTTATGTTAATATACATTTGACATTCACTCACCTTATATGTCGCCTATTTATTGCCAAATACTATTCCCCTGAGGAATATAAAAGTCTATTCATTTGGATTCTGTCAGGATTTTGGGGATCAGAAACACTACAACAAACCCATGTGCACAGATTTCTGTGTAAATTTATTTTCTAGAAAAGACATTGGGTCAGACACTACATAGATGCTTAACTTACAAAAAAACTGTCAAACTGTACCAGTGTGCCACCAGACTGCAGCCGACCTACATGCTTGTGAAGGCAGGGCACTATTGCTATTTTACCTCCTGCAGCTGAAGGATACAGAGCAGCATCTTCCTGTGATGCTAACTTGCATTTGTTGACTATATAATGACCCTGGGCACCTTGCTTGTGTCCTAACGACATCTCTGTATCTTGTTTATGTTTTAACACCATCATTCACAGGACAAAGGTTTATAACTTGATGAAAACCAATTTATCTTTTTTTTTTTTTAAGTGTTTTTGATGCTCTCAGAACTTTGTCTTCCCGATTTTTAAGGATGTTCTTGCTTATGTTTTCTACTTAGATCTATGATGGATTCTAAGTTAATTTTTCACGAGAGGGAATTCTTTCTTGGTATGAAGATGTTCGGTTGGCCCAGCTGTGGTAGTTTGAAAGAAAATGCCCCCCCCAGGGAGTGGCACTATGAGGTGGTGTGGCCCTGTTGGAGGAAATGTGTCACTGTGGGGGTTGGCTTTAAGGTCTCGTATGCTCACGCTACGCCCAGTGTCATAGTTGCTTCTGCTGCCTATGGATCAGGATACAGAGACCTCAGCTCCTTTTCCAGCACCACATCTCCCTGCACATCACCATGAGGATAATGGACTGAACCTCTGAAACCATGAGCCACCCCCAATTAAATGTTTTCTTTTATAAGAGTTGCTGTGGTCATGGTGTCTCTTCACAGCAATAAAACCCTAAGACATCAGTCAACTTGGTAACAAGGGATAATAATAAAAACAGTATTGGATAAACAAAATGTGCCTTTTAAGAAGGTCTATCAGGCTGGGCATGGTATAACATGCCTGTACTCCCAGCTAGGAGGCTGGGGCAGGATAACCACAAATTCTAGCCAACACTGGACAACAGGACCCTCCCTCGAGTAAAAAAGGAGAAAGGGGCTAACAGTGCAGCTTACTGATGCAGCATTTGCCCAGCATACAGGAACCCTAGGCTCAACTACGAGTCTCAGAAGAAAGAGCCTAACACAAGAGAAAAGGGGAAAGGGAAAGTGCTAGTTCCACCAATAACCACATTCTTCCTCACTTCAAACTTCATAGGGGAGGCCCCCAGGTAACAAGATTCCATAGATTCTCAGAACAGACTTTAGTGATAACCTAGCAATATTTTCTCCTGGATAGCCTTCTGAAGTCTTTGAACTTCTACGCTGTTCTAACTTACAACTTCCAAGATTAGGAGATGTGCTGTGGGATGGTCTGTATGTCAAATGTGTTGCTCTGATTGGTCAATAAATAAAACACTGATTGGCCAGTGGCCAGGCAGGAAGTATAGGCGGGACTAACAGAGAGGAGAATTGAGAGAACAGGAAGGCCAAGGGAGACACTGCCCAAGCAGCATGTGAAGATGCCGGTAAGCCACCAGCCACGTGGCAAGGTATAGATTTATAGAAATGGATTAATTTAAGATGTAAGAACTAGATAGCTAGAAGCCTGAGCCATTAGGCCAAGCAGTTTAAATAAAAAATAAAATAAAATTAAAAAAAAAGAATGGAGGAAACAGGAAGGGAAGGGAGAGACTGCCTGGAGCTGCCTCCAGGACAAGGAAGATGTAAGGTACCAAGAAGCCACGAGCCACGTGGCAAAGTATAGATTAATAGAAATGGGCTAAATATAAGAGTAAGAGCTAGACAATGATAGGCCTGAGCTAATGGCCAAGCAGTTTAAATAATGTCAGAGTCTGTGTGTTTATAAGTGGGCTCTGGGACTAGCGGGACTTGGCAGGAGCTAGAGAGAAATTCTCCAGCTACAGAGATGGATCACTTGTTAAGAGAACAGCTCTAGATAGTTCTGTATCAGTGGACAGAACTATCTGGCCTTGCTTTATATTGCTTCATGTACTAATTTGCTTGCACCCCTCCTTCCTGACAAAATGAGAGTCACCTGAGCTTAAGGAATTACAATACTTATTTATAGTGATTTGGTGTTTGGGGAGAAATAACATGGAGCCCAGAGTTGGGACATCATCATCATCAGAGTAATCGACTCCATTTGGGGTGGATATGACAGTAAGTAACCAAAATCTGCAAGGAATGTCCTGCAA